GCAAACGACCTCAATCTTCCACGGTGCATGATTCTTAGCATAAGTAAATGTTCTGGTCTATCTTGGCGCCCTTTTATTTTCCCGAGTAAGTACATTTACGAACCGACGCGCCTATCAAAGCGGCCTACATTCTCTCCGAGACGCATCCTGTGAGATTCTCAGCTAATGTGAAAGCATTTCCAGAGCAACAAGTCATTTGTGGGGACTTTTACATCGATGGCTCTAATTTTCGCGTGATTGGGAGCATTGTGGTGACGATTACTCCCATTTAAAATCGAGACGCAATAACGTAGACAAGGACAAAGTTTGTTGGTCACGTACAGCTTGAGAAATCGTCCTTTTGCGTTAGTCAACTCGGGAAAAAGGGATAAATCCTTCGGCGATCCAATTTGCCTATACCTCGAGCACAAAGGAACATGCAAATGCATTATGTACCCTTGCTCGATTCCATCAAAATGACTCAAAGAGTATCGGTATACGGTAGGTGTATACGTTTGATTCGCGTCATCTATCTGTCGATGTCGCGACAGGCCACGTGTGTGTGGATGGTACGCGTTTACACGCACGAGTGGCAACGATCTTGTATTCCGTACGAAGCGCGAGCAAGTCATCAAACCCATAGTGTGTGGAGTATAGGTACAGGAGCAAAGCGCGTGAGATCCCAATACCCGTTGATCCTTCGTTTGTTTTGCTTGGCCCACTTTTTGCGTTGAATTGATATTTAGGGCAGATTTATGGGTCTAATGGTAATCGACTTTCACTAACGCGAAGAGATTAAAATAACATCGTTATTAATATATCGTGTCTCGCTTCGCACGCTTGTTGTTGCTTTCCTTTGAGAAATTGAGAGATCCGAGACTTGATGCGGTATAAATAGAAGTCGTAGATTGCGGTGTTTGGTGATAAAAATCAGAGCATCTTACCCTAAAGTGGACACGCGAAACAAATAAGACTTTGAAGGATAAAGTACCACGAACGACCGAAAATGGCCACTGGTAACAATAATGGTCATGATGATGGCTGTTGTAGAATAATATTTCATTTCAGGTAAGGATAACGCGTTGAGTTTTTTACGCGTTGGGTGGATAAGCAGGGCCGAGCGTGCGTGACCAAAAGAGTTTGCATTACACGCTAAGCTGTGCACATACTCATATGATATTGTAATACTCTTGAGCTCACGCTTCTGTACCTATAAACTTGTATGATTACCGAGTGCGCGGGTGAGTATGGAGAATTTACGATGCGATCGTTTTTTAATGTAAATTTTGCCAACGTGAAAAGTATTTCTTTGGAAATTGTTGGAAAAAGTTGGTTTTTCCACTCTGATCAAATGGTAATTGTGGAGACAGTCGAGCCTCGCCCAGGAGGTACACTAGACATTTAATTTTTTATCATGCACAATTCAATAAATTCAGATACTTGGGGATTGACATATTGTCTAACTAAGAGTATGAAATAGTTGTGCCTCTCAAACTGGCGTGTTACGACAGCCAAGGTAGACCGAGGATTATTTTTTTCAAGCCTCCACGTCAGAAGCATTGCTACAGTAGAAGGGGATTCCCTACCTGCGAAATCGTCCATGATCGCAGAGTATGGACACTAATCGGAAAGAATCAATAATTTTCCATCTACGCAAACAAACGAGTGAAGAAAAAAACATGCTGACCAAAGATGAGTAATGAGGTAACGTTAACAAATGATTGCCAAAGATCACGACGGTCCCGTTTATTAGAGAAATTATCACATTGTCACGAAATTCAAGTAAAAAAGCTTGAACCATATGCAAATAAAGCCTTCGCTAAGCCGCGTAAGTATCGCCGCGCCAGTGACCTACAAAAACCACAGGCTAGAGAAAACCAAAAATAAAACCCGGGACTTCCGCTGATCGGCGCTCTGCATCCTAATCTCATTTCCCATGATCACTTTTGCGCGCTTTCTCCTCAACCGCGTAAAACGCAGCTCTCCACCTCCGAATCCTGCATTTCCTCGCAAGCTCGAGAGATCCCACATTTTTCGCTGCGCCCGAAACAACGCGCACTCGTATCTGCAAACTTGGATTCTCGCGAGGGGCCGCGCTGAATTCCAAATGAAGCAGCGAAAGGGGACTCGGGCCGCGGTCGTGCGTCCAACGAGTGGGCAATTTAAGCTCTGGCAGGCCGTTTCAAGGTCGAGCGTGTTTCCAACCCAAGTGCTTGCCAATGGTCGTGGGTACTGCGCGCGCCGACTCCCTTCGCTCGCATGTGGCGATTTTTTTTCCACGTGGTGATCGGTATCTTTGTTCGGGAGGATTTCGATTATCTCACGGTTCTTGTGCTCCTGGTTGGACTTTTTAACTATTAAAGGATCGGTAATTCGGTGATGCGCGAATTTTTCTCACCTGATCCGTATGAGTCACGTATAGCTACGTTCGATGGTGTTTACGTTTTCTTCCGTTTGGCGGTTTCTACTGCTCTCTGGCTTTTACAAATAAAAACCCTCTATGAGTTCTCGTAGAAAGCTGGGATTCGTTGTTACGTTCATTGCCTTTTGAAGCGCGAGATAGTAGTGACACACGATAATTGCATCCAACAAAAATAACTTGGCAACGTAATTCCCGGGTGTTTGGTTCATTTGCATGATTACCGGATTACATTGCGGCGCGAGCACAAAGTAGCTTCTGGAAAAACTGCTCCGATTAACATTTGGGTAGAAAACAACGGCAAAAAATCTCCTGGAGACCTCGGCTTTTTAAAGGTCGGGAAAAGTGTGACGTTCCACACTACAAACTGTTTATTAAGGCCTTAATAGGCTAGCGTCATTCATGATTTGCTTGTCACCATAACGTAGGCTATTAAGACTTGCGTAATCATTTGATGAAAAACGTGCAACTAATCGTGAGAAAAATTAAAATTTACTACTGATTGAAGACAGAAACTACAAAATGATTTTGAAAAATATATGAGACGATAGGCCAATAAAAGATCATAGAATTATTTTTTTTTAACGAACTAGTCGTATACAAGTGCGCTACATCAGTACTATACTCAGCAGATGCATCTTCCAATTAAAATGATACATCTGCTACCATTACAAGAAATCTAAGTATGAAAAAAGTGAGACGTTTCATTTGTATTTTCTCAAAGAGCGTTGCGTAGGAAAATTGAATCATGTTATATTAAATTCTTTTACCCTTTATCATGTTCTCTTTCACGAGTCCCAAAATTCATGGTAAAAACGTTTGGTCGTAAGGATTGGTGTAAAATAGATTAAAAGCTTATTTTGAAATATGTATGTTACAAATTGTTAGTCTAGAAAACACTTTTTCGTTGAAACCTTACGGAAAATTAATTTTATCTATTCTCTAACGCAGTGATGTAGCCGTGGCAAGGAGTCTTGGGAGTTTGGACCATCCCCCCCTTTGGCTCATTGAAAGAAAGATAATTTAGTTAGCAACAACACGGAAAAAATGTTAATGTGTAGTATGTCAAAACGCGTAAAAGTTCAAATGTATTTGTAATATTGCAAACATTATCGTCAATAATCTAACACAGAAACATTGAAAAATTGTGATGAGTTCAAAAATAAGAATTTTTTCAAACATAAGTATTTCTAAGGATTATTAAGCCCCATTTTTTTTCCTAGAAAAACCTAATTAAAAATTTATTTAATAGTATAACAAGCCAAAAAAATACCATTTTTTAACAATGGGAAGTCATAAAAATATGACAACTTTGCTGGTCTAATCTATTTGATGTCATTGAGAAATTTATGCTATCTGTTACATTTTTAATGACTAAAAAATTCCTAATTTCGAAAAATTCGATTTCTGTCACGAGAAGTGACAGACTTGAACGAGCTTCCAGTATTGTTTGATAGTGTGAGAAATTATGCTTTCAACTCAAATAATAACGTGGGAAATACCTTTTTTCCAAATACTATTGCAAAAAAAATTCGTAATCGAAAGATTGTGTAGGAGAATTTTAAATTATTCATTCGTAAAAAAAAATTGTGTACAAAAAATTAAATCTAGAAGATTACATGAGTATCGTCATTTTCACGTAATCTGTATGACTCGGAATTTTTTAATACGATCACATTATAATAATTCAAGGATATAATTATCATTGTACGTTTGAAAAACGAGAAATAAATGCATAGAGTTAACAGATCATAAGAGACAAGGAACTTTTTTCATAATGAAGTTATACAAACATATTTGGTACAAATTTAAAGAAAAAAAATTATTCAAGTAAGATTACATACATGTTTTACATCAACCGGAAAATGATCATACTTATAATAAAAAGGTATTTAGTTTTTACGTCATTGAAATGTTTCATGAACACAAATTACAATTCCTAACAAAAACAAATGGAGCTACATAACATGTGTTATTACACAAGAAAAAAATTAATTTTATAATTTACCAAATATAATAGCTCTTATTTCTTATTTTTCTTTTGTTGATTTCATAGTTTCCTGCATCCCAATACAATTTGAATCCTTTTGTAAATCCAAGTGTTTCTAAACAACACTTACTGATTGTTTATTATACGTCAAAGTTTCAACGCTTACGTCCATTTATTTTTTAAATTCTCGACCAGAAAATTGGTAATTGAACCCTTTAGCTTGTTAATTTGAATGAATTTCCTCATAATCAACAGTAAAGCTAATTTTCCGTACTTATTAATAAATATTTTTGTATTTTTTGTGGAAAAAAAAGAAAAAAACACTTGTAAATATTAAGCAATAACTTTTCATCATATAGTAAATTGATTAGCTACATGGCTAACGTTATAATGAAATCGTAAGTTGAAATGTTAATGAAATGTGCGACAGATGGGGTATTCAACCAATTTTTCAAAGACAACCATGACTTTTCGCGCTGTCCGCGTGAAATCAGAAAATCCTCGACAAAAAATGTCATCCCCCCACTTGATCAACAGTAAAGGGAGGATAAACGCAAATGTACAATGCTACGCGTACCTACCACAAAAAAGGGGGGGAAAAAAAAAACTTACTTCCGGACCACTTGGGCCTACCGTCCGGGTGGACGGGAATGGCGTTGCTGAAGAAGTTGTTGACGACGACCGAGGACTTGCGCCGCAAGCTCCGAGCGTACAGACTCGGGTCCTGGCTCTCGCGCAGATTCTGCTCCCACTGCTGCTCGTCAGACTTTCCATTCTGGCTCACGACCGCGTAGTGCCGGCCCGACAGCCGGCTCCAAATCGACATCGCATCCTTCATCGTTCGCTTCCTTACAAACTCACGAAAACCACGAGCTCGAAACTTCACCGACAGCTCCGAGGAGTGAAGTTGTATAAGGACGACCCTCGGTCACGGATGACCAGCCGCGATCGGCAGTGTCAGAGGGCCAAAAGAACCCTGATGGGGTGCTCGTGAGAAACAAGCAACACTTTTTCATCCAACCGATCCAACGGCAAGTCCAAGTACGCAGGGGAGCTTGCGTCGAGCTCTCGCGGCCGAGTCGGACAATCGATTGGCCGGAAGAGCGGCGCACCGCGGGACTATATCAGCGAGGATGCGCGAAACAGGTGCCGAGTAAATACAGAGAGGGAGAGTAAAGGTTGGCGCACCGATCGGTACGCCAGCGGTGCCTGTGGATGAGTGTGCCCAGCTCTCGCGCGCGAATCGGCCCATGGCGAGGTAGTATCAGCAGCGCCGCAAAGAGAGAGAGAGAGAGAGACTCTCTCCCCGCTCGAGTGGAGGTGGTCGGTGGAGCACGTGCGCTAGATGCTGCGTGTGTCCTAGCCAAGAGGGAAAGAGAGGGGCGACGCCGTAGTAGTGAATGAGCGTCGATATGTCAACTCGATGAGGGTGGTGTATGTTATAGTGTTGGAGAGCATAGGATTTTCGGAAGGGGTGTCCTGATGACGTACGTTACCCGGGTGTATTTTTTACATTGATGCACACACGGAATCCACTATGGTCTTTTTTTTTTTTTTTTTTTTTTTTTTGTTGACTAGAGGTAATAAATCAAATGCGGGTCTGTGCCCGAAAGCCTAGCCCAATCAGTTGGTCCGTCGTTTAAACTAATCGGAAGAGAGACAGGTTTTAATGCACGCAGGTGCGCTCTGATCTGCCTTTTTTTTTGGTTTGTCAGATGAATCAAAGTGCGTCACTTTAATAAATGAGTTGTACAACACTGATCATAACATTACCGATCTTTTAAAAATGGAATCAAATTTGCGTGGAAAATACGGCTGCATCTCCCGTCTGGATTCGTTAAACATTCATAAATAAAGGTAAATTGTGTCGCATGTCGATTAATCGTGCTGTCAAAATTTTGTCACGTTGCGACCGATCACGTAGCGTTGTACGGAAAATGATATAAATGTATTCCGGATCGGAGAAAACAAATCGAGAATCGGTACATAAATCAACAGATAGACGGGTAAATTGTTACCGTGAGGCTCCGAGGGTGCAAAAAATTTTGACGCGCAGTCGATGATGCTGCCGTGGCGTGCGTGCGTGCGTCAGACGTGGCAAACTTTTGGATTCCAAGCAAGTTGATGTTTTTCCCCTTTTTGCGATGAAACGAAACAAATTACTGGTTGCGGTGGTTGACGGGTATTAAGTACCTTTGAATGCAAAATTTTGTGGCAAGTTTGACAAATCGTAAATAAAATGTTTATTGGACAGTTGTTTAGCAAAATCTTAACCTCCTTGAGCCTATACGTATGATGAAACTACGTCTTTGAATGTACCAATGTCGCTCGGACCACTGTGTCCGTATCGTTATCTCCCCTATTGTTTGATACACTTCTTTTTCCCCTTCCAAGATTTTTTCTACAAATCATTTAGGTATGTATGCAAAAAAAGAGAGGCTGTGACTCGTTGCCACTACGTAAGATAAAATTACGTCCATCATCAGTTTTAATTCTTCTTTTATTTTCTTTACTGCTATAGACATTTGCTGCACGTTCTAATTGTGACGTTTTGCTTTGTAATCTCACTCAAGATTCCTCCTTGGATCGATCATTTATAGGGATTCCCTTGAGATTTGTCATGTTTCTTGTGCTACCTGAACCAGAATTTCACACATAAGATTGCTCGTTTAATAACTTAAGTGCGACTCTCCCAAGCAAGTACTTCTGTGAATTTTCACTAGTGCTTTTTCACCACGCAATGCTCCTCGTGAAGGGATCGGGCGACGTTCTCGCAGCACAATGGCCTATAGATTCTTTGCTGAAGTGGTCTTTGTGGACATTATCACCGTACCAACGAATTGAACTTACTGTATCTAATAATGTCAACTGTGTAACCAATAATGTAACATTTATGTACCAAATATTACTATTGTAAAATGTGCCTTACTGTATATATATACCAAGGCTATATATGTTCTCGATTACAATGAAGCCCAAAAATAAATACGTAAATAAGTATTTATTTAAAAACAAAGCAAACAAACAAAATCTTAATGTAGTTCAGACCCATCCAATACGAATACTTAAACGAATGATAAAAAATCCAAATAACACATTAGTTCGTCGCTCGACGCACATGTCGATCTTGTTAATGGTAACTCTGAATCAAGAATATCCTACTTGTTGTTCAGTTATGAAGCATCAATTTGTGATTGGATATTTTTTTTTCACCGTTTAAAAAACCAATGCTTTTCTTTGTTTTAAAATATGCAGCTTTAAAAACCTATACCAAGGATTTCGTGATCTCGACGATATTATTCCCTGATACGACAATTTTTGCATAAAAAAAAACCATTTAAATCGTTTCAACAACAAGCTCTGGTGTTCTGAGAAAAGAGGTGGATTCAATATGGTTAAAACGGTCAGTGGCTCGTATTTTTTAATTTGAATACTCGTAAAACTGCGTTTGATGTGCTCGAAAAAAGTATCGTAAAAAATATCCGAAACTTGCATACAGAATAAATTAAATATGTATTATCACTTGAGGGAACAAGTCACATGATTTGTTGGATTTGATATGCTGGTCGGTTTAATAAAATAATAGGGAAATACGTAACCACAAAACGTCGATGACGCCGACGCAGATCTACTTTACGCGCGTGTTTAGAAGTGACAAATTTTTCGTCCACGCGAGCAGAGTCCTTGTGCGATGACAAATTTATAGCCGAAAAGTTATTCGAAATTTCCAACTAACAGTTTTAATCAGCGTTAGTCAACTATTTTCCGGAAACGTAAAAACACCCTCGCAAAAACTTTAATAGAGCCACGATGTCAGAGTGTTATTTGCATCAACTGTTGTAAATTATTAGATTTGCGAAGTTATCAAGTATAAAGCAAGTGTATACACAAATTTGGGCACAGTTATTTTTTTAACTGCTTTTTTAATGCACTGCACATTTTTTATGTGCAATCTACGATTTGTGATGTTAAAAAAACATGACTTTTCGNNGTTTTGCACCGACTTTTGAATTTCAAAAATAATCATTATATAATTACTTGGTATAATACAGTGCTTAGCCAAATATTTTCCAGCTAAAAACAATGCATTACAATTCGATCAGGAAAAGCAATATTCAAAAAGTATAAGAAACTATTGAAAAATTTAATTTTAACTATTCTTTAATAATAAATTTAAATACGTAAAATACATTACACTTATCTTTTGGAAAAAAAAATTTTTTTCTCAATATTATGTTGTTAATAGTGCTGAATTAAAAATTTTTCAACAAACAGAAAGCCCTTTATTAGAAGAAATAATTTCATCATACTGTGCCAAAAGTAGGAACTTTCGTCCCACTGCACGTAACGGAAATCCCTTCTTTCGGCGCAGGACTGATGAAAAATAGTATGCGCAATACGTTCGGAGGTTAAGAAATGCAATAGATTTCACGTTAACCACTCTCGGCTTGGCCTCGGGCGTTTATTCACGTGAAATCTAAGACATTCTTAACCTACGAGCGTGATTACTTATTTTAAAGGGTTGGAAGATCCGTAAAACAATTTTACCCAAGATTGAGTATGAAACTGTCCTAAGCCTATTTTCAATCAAAACTCGTGCACACTTGCGCTGACAGACCTAAAATTACGTCACTTTGGTAGAAACGCCAAGTTTTTGATGATGGCACAAGTGATGAAGCGATCGACAATAACAACACCCTACATATGCCACATAATACCTGACCATGCGAAACTACAATGATAAACGATAGGTACACATGATTGACACCAGATACCAAGAGATGCTGCATACCTAACGTAGACTAGCACTCAAGTTTCCCATGTTCACTGCCCATAAACACCCACATCCGCATATATACTACGTACATCGGCTTACTGAAACTGCACGTGGACTGGACTTCCAACATTTTTTGCGTTCGTCCTCTCAGTAACACCGTATACATGCTCACTGCATTTACAAGTATAGGTTTACCCGTTCAAGTGCTCTCGTATGTGTTTGTATCGGTTACTGGCATTACGTGTACAGCAACTTCCTTGTGGCCGAGGATCTGCATAATTTCTCGATACGCTTGGCGGGAGATGAGCGCTACTTTACGAGCCCGTTACGAGCTGACAAGTAGGGCTGGCAGCTCGGGTATAAGTATATTACATACTCCGTCCTACTGAGTAGGGTACACACTTTATGCGAGATTCAATCTTTCACATTATAAGTTGTTATTTTAATTGTATTCTATTTCTTGTTTCGAACAACCGCAGACTGAGGAAAATTTTTCCCTGTGTGATGTTAAGAATATATCTAAACCAAACTTTTAAAATGACTTGAGTTAGCCATTTTCCATAAAAACTAAGCGGTTAATTGCCATTTTTCCAACCCAATTATCACGACCCAACCGAATAAGTGATATGAAGAAATCGTTGCTACAGCAAAAATTTATAACTTTAGGTGCAGAAAGTATGTCGTTAGGGTGGCTTGAGCGGTTGGTACCGTGCCTAAGATGGCGTGCCATAAGGGCCCCTAAAAAATCAACGCTTTTCGACGGTAAATTTTTCAATAAATATAGTTATTTCGATAAAACCAAAGTATAAGATTAAGAAATTGCCAGAAAAGTACCGTGAGATTAAATTTGTGAAAATTGGGAGATGTTGCGAGGCAAACCAAATCAATGTTTCATACTTTTCTTCTGATTTTCTTTTAAGTTAAGTCGTTGACCCTTTATTTTTAAGAATTTAATAGATTCTTTGTAAAAAAATACATAAGAACTATTTTAAATTTTTGAGGCTAATTAAAGATTTCCGAAGATATAGTCGATTTTTTGGCCACTACCCATAAGAGTAGGTGTCAAATTGGTAAATTTGGAGTAGCGATTTGCGAAAAAATTAAGTCATTGATCTCCGTATTTNAGATTCTTTGTAAAAAAAAAACACAAGAACTATTTTAAATTTTTGAGGCTAATCAAAGATTTTCGAAGATGTGGTCGATTTTGTGACCACTGTCCGTAAGAGTAGATGTTAAATTGGTGAAATTAGCGAGTTGCGAAAGAATTAAGTCGTTGACCCCAGTATTTTATTATCGCAAATGAATTTGGCATACTTTGTTGAAAGTTTATAAATTTGAATAATTGAATAAGTTCTATGCTCCTGGCCTGTAAAATTATAAAGTCTTGACTTCGTACTTAACGTTAGGTCTAATAAAAAATACGCAGTTTATGCGCAGTCAAAAAGTAGCTTTCTAATTTTGAAAGCCATTT